AAATTGATCTTAATTGCAGGATGGAATACGGGTGAGGTCATTTTATCCCATAATTTTGTTCCACAAGAAGGCAGAAGGGAGGTTGAATATGACTGGCTGTTCAGGACAAATAAGCCACAAATATTCCACCCTCCCCTCAGACTACATCGCTCCTGTGGGCAGCAGCAGCACGGCAAGCCCAACTACCACCTCCCCGAACAAGGCGCATTAGGTTAGATGAATGCTTCTAGGATAGTTGTTTTGACAGTTTGCTGTTTCACAGGGTTTCCACAACCGACTTCTCTGTGCCAAACAGAGTCACACATCGCTCGCACGCCCCTAGGCAAGGAATTGTCGCAGGCTTTTGTCCTGGGGGCATCAATGCTAGTTATCGTTATCTTTTCTCCCTTTTCTGGACAGAAGCTGGGTCAAGGTCACTGAAAGCCGAAGGAATTCTGAGGCAAACAAATGCTGGATGTCGGTTTGTCCGGTCAGCCATTTAGACCGTGGCTACCGTTTTCTAAATTAAAACTTACTATGCGTCTTCTCTAAATAAATTAAAAATACTGCCGAAATTAAAACTTAACGTCCAAGTCACTTTGAAGATCTTGAGTTCACAAATCTTCCCAGTATCCTCTGGCGTAACAGCTCAACAAAACCCCAGTAGTGCTTTGCGACCGGTATGGTCCCGACCAAAGTCCTTGAGGTATCTTGCAATTTTTTAGAATTCCAATGTGAAGTCTATTCGACCAGTCTACTTTACCCGGTAATTCTTGTAGTCTGACATTCGTGTTGCACTCCTTATCGATGAGATAAACAGTGTTCTCCTCTTTTAACACGCCTTGTTTCTTATTACCGAAGAACAGTCATGGCCAGGATCCTCACACAGCTGGTCACATAGTACTGTTTTTACCGTGAAGAACAAGTCTCTCAAACTCCATCTAATCTGAGCGAGTTCCCGGATGGCTACCTCCTTCGAAAATATAAAGGCATACTAAACTAACTAATTAGTCATATTCCTGCCCTCTGCCGACCATAATTACTTGTTCCGGACTATTGGTCAACATTTTTCTCGTGAGCTGCGACATTCATGTCGCAGATAACGTTAT